GTATATATATGTATATATATATATAACATGATGATTCAAATAGCTTTGTTCCGTGTATCATAGTTATATATAGCATACAAGCATATGATTAATGGTTTGCCCTATACATTGATGATCCCAATATGATATGATACATAATATTGATAGATATATGATAATGATGTCCCTAATGTAATATGAAGCATAATATTGATGCACATGAACATGATATACTAATATAGTTGATGATGGTATTCATAACATTGATATACATAAATATGATACATATATTTGATGCATATAATTATTTATTAACATACATAATGATACATAAGAGATACATGTACTGATGCATTGAATGATATAATGATATCTATGAGATACATGCTTTGACATATTGGTATATATGATTATAAGAGATGATCATTTGAACAAACATGAACATATGATGATCTTGATCATACTTGCATAAATGTACATGTGTAAGGATGAGCATGGAATGATATTGATTTATCATATGATTAGCTTTTATGATTTATTTAATAACAACATGCATATTGATCTTTTTTTCTTGCATTGGATATACTTGTATGTTTTGTGTGTCTTGAGCTTTGGACTCACTTTGTTTGTTTGACATGTTTAAAACATTGGTAGAGAAGGTTGAGATAGTAGTTGCAGTTAGAGGCACTCCCTTTTAGTGATTATAAGATTCTTTTATAATAATGGGGATTAAATACATTTTGATGAACTAATTATAAATCATGATTATTGCATATATATTTTGAAATAAATAGATCTGAAGGTTTATATGGTATGGAAAATGCTTTACTTTTTATATTGATGGGTTTTAGTGGTTTTATATGTGAATTAAATGATAAAAGAAATTTAGTGGCTTCAAATGTGAATTAAATGATAAAAAAAATTTACTCAAAAAATAAAAAATTTTTGGGCAAATGATCGGTTATGCACTTGACCTGATATGACCCATTAGACTGTATGGATTGCATAACATTGAGTCATGATATGATCTCTATTGACAGCCAACTGGGATTCTCAAACCTTCGTTGCCTGCTAACAACGATATTCGGATCACCATCGCTCGATTACAGTCTTTAGATCTTCGTCACCCGCCAACTACAACCACTTGAACACCATCACGTGATGACGAGAAACCACTATCACCCAACTACAATCTTTCGACCACCTTCGCTTGATTACATGCCTTTCAACCTCTATCATCCAGCTACGATCATTCAACCTCTAACATCCGGCTACAACCATCCAACATCTATTTTCTAGATATGACTTTTTACCACTATCGTCCGACTATGATTTTTTGAACTACAATCGCCTAATTATGGTCCTCCAACCTCTATCGCCTCCCTTTGACCTCCATCACCTGCCTAAGTCCCTTCGACCTCCAACACTCGAGTACGGTGGACTCCAATCATCGTTGCCTAACTACGATTCACCGACCAACAATATTTTGACCATTATCACTTAGCTACTATTAGGCCTATTGACTTCATCACCCAACATCATTAATAATACCAACACTTGTTGTCACTTATAAGATTGATATACGTCGTCAACATCAACTTGGATTCCCAACTTCAACACTTGAATTTATGATTAATTTTTGTCGAAGGGCTCTTTCAACTTCAACCTACTAATGTGTTCTTCACAGTATATTAATGTCTTTCCCATAGGAAGGGATTCACTTGTAATCAAATATAAATACTAGTGGAATTATTTTAACTAGATCAAACCTTGTGATATTTCCCTTTCCTAAGTTTTCTATATAAGAACAGTCTCTTAGAATTCTTGCACTCCGCTCTGATTTTTGTGTGTATTGGATCTTTGTGCAAAAGTAGGGTGCTAAAGTCTCTCTCTTACTCCATGAATATTTTAGCATATAACAATAAGGATTCAATTAATTACTCACAATAATAAAGAATATTGAAAACAAAGATACTTAATCATTTATAAATTGATTGAAAATAGTTGTAAATTTATAATTTTATTATAGAACTACTAATTAGTAAATAAGTTATACTAATTAATTATAATTGAATTGATTATTAGAAATTTGTTAATGCTAAAATATTTGTTGAGAGAATTAGGAATTGATTCTTCTTATTATTCATTGATTAATGACTATTGAAATATAATATATATTAGTAAAATATAAATAAAATAATATGAATTATTAGTAATAAAGTGCAATATTATTTTGTGTTAAATAAATATATGAGAAAATTTTGAGCGCTATGAGTATAAATCCCCCTTATTATTAATATCCTGTTATTTTTTTTAATTAAATCTCACACTTGGTTAAATCATGCTTCTTGTAAAGTATCAAAATTTAATAATTTTCAAATTTACCCCAAAAAACTATTAAATACTGTAATGAAATCCAATAGATAGCCAAACATCGCCTAAACCTCGGTGCTCTGGACTCCCCTAGATTACACCAGCTTCACTGGCTCTTCGGCCGGTGATGGCCGCCGCCACCGCTGTTAGATCTATTCTCCGGTCTACCACCGTTCGAAGCGCATCGATGAGGTTCGCGTCTAAGAACTGCAGTGCCCGTTCTCCTCGTCTGCTTCCCAAGCTTGGCCCCGCCGTTCCTCGATTCCTAAGGTACAACCCTCACTATTCACACAGTTTGCACACGCGAACGATTCTCTTTAAATTGAGATGTTATCTGTTGACTTGAGGTCTTCGATGGTGACGTGCTTCTGTCTGGAGTCGCTTCACCCGATGCACAGCGCGACAGCATCAGCGCTGATGACCTCTTTACTCTCTGTTTCCATCCAGGGTAATTGCTGCATCTTGAAAGGTATTAGAAATCCACTCCGTTTGAAACCGCTAGGCTTCACATAAATATGTTGTTAACTTTGTCGGTGGTTAGAATTTGCGGCTGATTCGTGTTTTTCCTTCCTTGGTAGTGAACTGTAATCTGGATTTGTTTATGAGTTTCTTCTTAAAAGCCTGTTGTACCTCAGTTTGGATTTGCATGGAAAATGCATGATTTGAATCACTATGGCATGTTTTCAAACCATCCATGCTTCGCAACCATTGTAAACACATTTCAAAACAATTTAGAACTTAGCCCATCTTTGAGATAGTTTAGCGGTGATTTTATTTTTCAACATAGCACAATCTTATCAAACAAAGGCTACCACCCTTCCCGGATCATTGAAATGTCTCAGGGATAAGGCTCAAAACATCAAAGGCAAAAAGGAAATATATAATGAAATACATCAAAAGATTCTCCCATGATTTATATGGAACAGTCAAGGCAATGGATTTCAGAAGTTTCTATTTTGTAGTCTTAGCTTGCTTATATGTGTAACAATGTGCAATTACTCTCTGAACATCTCTAGTCATTAAAGGCCAATAAAATCTACTCTCTATAAGATTAATGGTTTTGTCCTTGCTAAAGTAACCATCCTAATATAATGTAATTCACTAATTAGAGCTCTCAAAATGACTTAGGAAAACACAACTGTTACTTGTATAATAAAATATCCATCAATCACCATAAATGAATTTATTAAAGATATATGCTTATCTTTATGTCATAATCCAAAATGTGGAAATCAGAATGCACTGAATAATCCTCCTTAATTCTATCAAATCCAAGAATATGTAATTTAAGTAATCAATATGCCTATCCTAGATAATGCATCAATAGAATTTTCATTCCACAATAGTTATTGAGTAGTTTAGACCTAAAAGACTTTGTTAGAAAGTATTAGAAATGTCCTTTTTTACTATATTTAAATGAGAATTTAACTCTTAATAGGGTACAATGGAGAACAAGGATTCATGTAGCTGACCCCACGTTGTGGGATAAAGGTTTGATGTTGTTGTTGTTATTGAGTAGTATTGATGGTCTTGAATTAAGAGGATGAGATAACGCTTTAATGGAGTTGAGTCTAATAATTGTTCTCAATATGTTGAGCATAAGTCCATCCATCTATATAAGCATAAAGGTGATGCTGCTTCAACAAAAAAAAAAAACTCAATACCCTTCTGCAAATATTTATTTACACATGGATTAACACATGGCAAGAATTCTGCTTATGCTGCTAAAACCTCTTGGAAACCAAGATAGGTATTGTATATAGTATCATAGATTTTATTGCTAATATTATGGTTCAATTTAATAAGAGACATCAGGGGCTTTGTTGATATTTGGGGCTAGTTATACTAGCAAAAAGTTCAAATCGAAAGGTGCATAACAATGTTTAAAATTGCGTATTCAGGTATTGAGGCGTTTTTCATTCGTGAGGCGAGGCATAAGCCTCAAGCGTTTTGAGGCTATAGCCTCAAGAATAAAAGATGCGTAAATATAAATGATAAATTTGTTATATACTAATTAATGAATAATATAAAACATAAAAAACATAAAGATATGAAGTGAAATCAAATATTCAATAATAAGAAACAATGAAATTAGTTCAACTCAAAATTCTATCTTTCTGAAAATCCCAATATCTTTTTCATTAACACATAATTCTGATTTCAAAAATAAATAGCAATGACATATCACATAAGAACTTATAATCATCAGCACTGTCATCACTTAAGGGGTTCTTCATTTGAATCTATATTATGGTGAATTTCTTCCCTTCCTCTCTCCTATAGAGTCCAATGTCGGGCATTTACTTCAAGATTATGTAAGTTTTAATATATATACGTGAGGCGTAAGTCTCATGCCAGTGAGGCGAGGCGAGGCAAGCCTCAATGCGGGAATGCGGGCCTTAACCAAGTTGAGGCGCAAGCCGTCTACAAAAAAACCGAGCATAAGCATCAAGGCGTTTTTTACTGGAATTGCGCAAAGGAGGGCCTCAAGGCGAGCCTCATATTGCGCAATTTTAAACCATGGTGCATAATATTTATTATATGAGCAGAAGAAGTTGTTTCATTGCAAACTTATGGGAAAATGTTTGGAACATTTGTATGAAATTATATTTTAAGTTTAGTGTTGAGTCTCCTATATCATGAAGGAGAACTTCGTAAAGGAATATATATGTAGGAATCATTGATTAAATGCAATATTATATAATATGATTTTTCATTGAGTCTTGTATTATTTTGCATCTGTAGTTATTATAGATTTTAACTTGAGAATTTGGGGCACTTGAAGTAGTTGTGGCTTTTAGGGAGCTAAAATTTATGATTATCGGAATACATATAGTTGTGATTATAGATATTAAATATATTGAAAAAATTGTATGTAAAAATGACCCTATTTTACAGTTTTTTTTTTGGGTCCACCTAAAAGTTTGCAAGGTGGGAGTTTATTAAAGTGTGGGTGAGTATTTAACCCAACCAAAAACTTGTTAACAATTTCCAAGGCTTTTACTAATTGGACTATGTTGCACCTACAATAATTAGTCTATTGGGTCTTGAAAGTATCTCCCTTATAAAATTCTTTTTACTTTCTTTTTTATATACTTTTTGAGAGAGCTTTTATGCATAATTGTATTGTGAAGGTGAATTATTTGTTGGGGTGCAATTCTCATTTGACTTAGCATCATATAAGAGATTTCTCATAACGCCTTGTAAGAATTCAATTGTAGGGGTCAATGTGACCTAAGAGTCAGTAGCTAGGTTTAGCCCAACCTTCGTCGTTCTTGGGGGAACCACTTTTAACACTAAAGAATGATTGAGCCATAGAATCTCGAGAAAGGTTGGGTGTAAAAGTTGAGACCTTGAGGCTTATGAGCTAACATCTAAGGGTTATAAGAACCTTTTCTTCTTTTCTTGATTGTCAAACCTACTTGATAAGAGGCCTCAAGATTAATTGTCCTAGTAATGGGAAGAGAAAATATTCTCCTAAGGGGTATTATAAGGTCTCTTAAGATTTTCCCTCAGATGCATAGCTTTCCAACTCTCTCGACTCCCCATATGCCTAATGAACATAAAAGATTTCTACTTTGAATTTGAGCTTTCTTGAACTTTTGAGGGCAATACAAAATTGTGAGTACTTAAAGCACCGATCAAAGCTTTGTTGACCTTCAAGTCGACTAGAAAAAGGATGGACATAAATATTGCCTCTATGACCAGGATCATAACCATAACACCGATGATTTTAGATACCCTTAGATATTTATTAACTAGTTGAAGAAAGGTCATCTAAAGGAGTTTTTCATAGAGGGAAGGAGAAAGAAATGAAAAAAAAAACCCAAAGTCATGTTCTCTAAGTCAGGTACCAACACCAGCATGGGAATGGTCATTGTGATAGTGGGAGGCACTAAATAAGAGGTGGCTCATAATACTAGTTTATTGTGCTTTGAGAACAATGAGGTAACCTACACTTAACTCACCCCTAGTAACCTTTTCTAGTGAAGACTTTTTGCAAAATAAAAAAGTTTTAAATGATGTGGTAGTTGTGAAATTCTTCATTAACAATTTTAACATCCATTAGGTGCTCATAAATTTTGGGTGTTCTATTAAGAAAGGATCAAAGTTAATCCCAATAATCATAAAACCTCATGAGGAGCTCTCATTGGGTTCTCTAGCAAAAGCTTGAAACCCCTATAAAGAATAATTTGGCCAATCACGTGATGCAATGATCGGTCAGGTGAGTATTATTCAATCATCTTTGCAATTAGGTATAATGCTATTTTGGCCTACCCTTTACCCTTTGGCTATTTCAAGGTTTTGATGACCATGTACCACATAGGGATTGCCAAAATATGATGCAACATATTCCAAGCTCAAAAATTCTCTTACCTTACGAAGGGGGACTAAAGTTGAGATATTGAAAATAAGCCCTATGCACAAAGGAAGCCTTCAACTTATGCGGAAACTCATTAGTGTTCTAACTAGTGAAGATCAATCGAGGGTTACCAAGGCTAAATCCCCCACCAAAAGTAACATCTAAATCAAACCAATACATGATTATATAGTGGCACCGATTGAGCATTAGCCAGGAAGCTAACTTGATTGACAAACGAGGAAGCAAGAGACTACTATGATGTGACAAAAACTTTGAACACAGACAAGAAAAGTATATTGGAATCTACACAATCAAGGTTATGTTTTGTTATCTGTTATATCATGCCAAATAGCTTGTCTTATAGGATTAGATCCTACTAGAATAAATGATTTGTAGCTTCAGCCTTGGTTCCATTATCCAGAACTTTTTGTATATTGGATTACAAGATAAAATAGTTTTTCTCTATTTTTGTATTGCGTTGATTGAACTTCCAAAGTTTTTACTTGCTTTTTTTTGGTTTTTAGTAATAGTAGAGAGAAATCAATAGCAACATTGAAGAAGCAAACCAATGATAGTGATAGTATCAATCAAGATAACAATAACTCCAACATGCAAGATAGTAAGCAAAATAATGAGTTGTAAAAGAGAGCACAATAGCAATGGTACCAGGTAGACCAAAAACATAGAGTAATAATAGTAGTGATAGTAATATAGAGATCAACTATGACATAGAGCAAAAGCAACAGAAATAGTTAGGATTTACTGGCAACAACAGAGATTCTTCAATGCAACTAAAGATAGGAATAGGGAAATTAAAGTACTAAACTACAATAGTAGGAAATCAAATGTAGCGGATATTTTTTGTATATTGGGTTTTGGGATAAAATTCATAAATGTCAATTATGAGATAAAATAAGTGGGGTTATTCATACTCATATTTGTAAGGTTCATACTAAATTACAATTGAATACATATATATACAATGATGGCATTAAGACATACATAAACATCCATTATTTAGTGTGTCAAAGTACATGGTTGAGCAGATAAGACAACTTATTTTTTACTTAATTAAGATTATGTTGGATAAATAAGTCAAAGGATATCATATACAAATCATTAGCATGGGTTAAGTTTGTCATTTATAACACAAAAAGGGGTCTTTATCACTTTGATGGATTATAGGTATAATATATTTTTTAAGCAATATAAATCTTTGACCAATAAACATAAATGAATTAGAGAGTTATCATGTGGGATTATGGGATACCCTTCTTGACAAGAAATTATCTCTATATTATAATTGTTATGACAAACGTAATAGCTCAGTTAGGTAGAACACATTGTTCGCATGCAATGACCATAATTGTCCTTCTTAAAAGTTGAAGTCTTACTCCATAGCTTCAAGAGAATAAGAGAAACATAACTTGAAAATTTGGTTTTTTTTTTTTCAACTTCGATTGAAATTTTTTATAGATTTTTTTTATCTTTGTCATTCTAATTAATAGAGAGTAGAAATAGAGGGTTTCTATAGATTCTTATCTCATAGTCTTACTCATATTAATAGGAATATAAATAAGAAAATAATAAAGAATATATACATATTGAAATATTATTCTATTATATAATAATTAGAATAGTAGAATGAATAAATATATAGATTACTAATATATATATATATATGAAATGGAGGAATTGTCATAATCAAAGTCATATGCAAATTTTTATATTCAGATAAGTCAAGTATAAATCATTATATTCTAGCAAGTCAAATACATATTTTTAGATATAGATTGTCAGGTACATAGTATTATATTTAGATACATCATATACATATTTTTTATATATATTGCCAACCTAATAGGTATACCTACTTTAAATGTGTAGTATTGGGTCAAACCCTCCTATAGAGCTTGTCATCCTCGACATGAAAAATCACATCAAAAGGACCATTGAACTAATGGGGTCGACCGTGCAAATCTCCATCCTCCTACAAACACTTGTGATTTCTTAAAAAAAAATTTAATATGTTTGATGGACTTTCAAATTCAAATTTCAATGTGTTATTGTGTCACAAGTTTAGAAATAAATTTATGTAGTCAAATGTGGAGTTAAGGATATGCAAAAAAAATGTCAATGGAAATCATGCATATTATATTTAAATCATGCAAGTCAAAATATGAATCAAGAGCTCATAATATTATTGAAGGTTAAACATATATCATAAAAGTAATAACATGAGTGATGCTAGACAAGGACCATATATAATCATTTGAAGATGCATGATCATGCAACATAAATCTAAGATCAAGTAAATGCATAATAATATCCTAATTGATACAAAATAATCTTGCATCTACCTCAAATATAACATGCTCTCTAATGTTGAACATTTAAGACAAAACAAATAACAAGAATGATGCTAATCAAGAAGCGTATATAATTATTTGAATGCGCACAATCATGTAGCATGAGTCTAAGATCAAGTGAGGGCATAGTCATAACTATATATTAGGATTCAAGAAGCTCTTAATTTCTATAAAATAACCATGCCACCATCCTCAAACATGAAATATCCTCGAAATTCAATTCACACGACTCTAATTTCATCGAATACTTTCTGCGCCACAAATCATAATTAACTTGATGTGATACAACATGGGGTGAAACATGAATTGCACGTTAGAGATTAATGAGAGTTTAACTTTGCAATGTTAACGATAAAATCTAGCTTACTCAAGTTGGATTCAAGAAACTTCGTGATAGATTATGTTAACGGCAGTGATTACATTTAAGAATTACAAGAGTCTTGCAAAATATAACCAAAATAAACTAGATAATGCAAATAGCTACTACTAAAGCCACACGTTTAAAATTTAGATAATTCACCTTGAGGTCCTTTCATTGCTCTCGAAAATATGGGCTAGCGGAGGAGGATTGTAAGTAAACTCAACGATGCCACTAATAGACAAGTAATCCCGAGAGGACTCGTCGCCGGGGGGGATACCGGATTTGGAGGAGTGGGTGGGCGGCCGTCGATGATCCACTCGGAGTCTGGACGTTGTCTGTCGATGACTCGGATGAGAGACGGGAGGATCCGATCCAAGTAATCTCCAACAGTATCTTCGTCGGATTCGAATCCCGCGTCGAAGAACGGCGATCGATGGATGTCGAGGTTGCCGTGAGCCGTCAACACAAGTCCCCATTTCTAGGCTTCGGATCCGCCATTCATGATAGGGTTGCGTAGAAGAGAGGCAAAGGGGGAGTGGGGAAGTGGGCCGGGAAAATTGGGTGAGAGAGAGGTGGTCACGGTTTGGTGGTTTAGAGGGGTTCGGCCAAGGTGGGGTGGCCAAGAGGAGTGCAGAAATTCTGAGTTAATTTCAGAATTTTGGGTGGTCTAATGGGGGTGATTTAATTTGGAATTCAATTAAATCACAAAGGTGGAAGGGAGGCTAAAAGAGGAGTGGGGCTGATTTTGTGGAGTTAATATGTCATTTGGAGGAGAGAGAGGCCCACTAAGAGTGGCCGGCCATATGAGGAGGAGAGAGGGAGGTTTGGGAGTTATGAGAGTGGGGCCCAAGTTTAAGTAAGAAATTCAATTAAAATTCAGATTTAATGTGACTTAGGTAACTTCCCACAATTTAAAATGAAAGAGAGATCTAATTTGAAATTCAAATTAGGATTTAATTCATTAATGAGATCCCATAATGAAAGGGAGCCAATTAGGAAAGTGTTTAAACGAAATTTGAAATTCAAACCATAGGAATTCAAGGGGGAAAGAGGCGGTGGGAGAGGGCTACTGGGTTGGCCGGTGGGGGGAAAGGGGCTGGCCGGAGGGAGGTTGGTGGCTGCCCGGCGGCTGGTTCGGCGGTGGCTGATCTAGCCGGCGGAAATTGGAGGCAGGGTGGCCGGTGGTTTTGAACAGCTTAGAGTGGGCGGCAGCAAGGAGCAAGAGAGGGAAATCAGTAAGGGAAAATCTTTGGATTCAAGCGTGAATTCCACTCTTCACAAATGCTTTCAACCCGAATTTCCACGACGACGAATCGATCACAAGAAATAAATGAAGAAAAATGGTAGAACAAGAAGATCTAGAACTCACAAAGAGATCTAGCTTCTCCTACGAACTCACTAAGAGATCGAGGAGGGTGAACTCACAAAGAGATCATAAGTGGCAAATATTCTTCATTTCATCAAAACTAAACTATTACATAAGAAAAGAGCCATATAAATAGGCCTCAAAATGACAAGAAAGCAAAAGACTAAAATGCCCCTCGGGCTACAATAACGACCAAATACCCATAAGGGCAAAAACGGAAAAACATAAAAAATCAAATAAACTACTACATAAAATGATGAAAATAAAGATCATGATCGTGATCGTCGATCTCCGGCATCTCCTGATGATACATGTGTCGCAATCTCTGACGATGTCCTCATCATAACTACTAATAATTTAAAACACCAATAAATAGCAAATTATTCAATACCATATTTTTATTACATAAATTTTAAAACTTTAGAAATTCAATTTAAAATTTGTAAAATTAGTAAAACCATTTCACGGGATAGGACCTTGATTCATGATATCTCCAATGAATTTTTATCAATTAAGTCAAATAGGCCCATAACTTCAAATTTGATTGTAAATTAGGGAAGATTTCTTTTCAATCCAAATTCACCGGCATTGATTTTGAAAAATTATAGTTAACATTCTTTTCAAGTACAAGAACTATGTTATGCCTAATTATAAATAGATTTCACAGTTAATTGAACAAAGTCTCGATCTCCTTAATTTAGAACTTATATGCCCTAAACTCTAACTAAGTTTGAATCTTTAATCCATATTTAGTTAAGTCCTAGGCATATCAATTTTTTATTCATGGTTAGCTTTTATAATATTAACAAAATCAATATATAATATCAACACATTATAGTTAAATTTATACGCTACATCTAATTTTGATGGAACAAGATGGAGGAAGAGGTAAACTTGTGATAAAGAAGTTCTTAGTTTGGTGTCGATCTTCTTATTGAAGATCCAATTAGGAATAAGAGAATTGGTGGAGGACAAAGAAGAAATAAATGAGAGGATTTAATTCTCATAGGCATAGGCGGTCATGTGATCTTGCCTAACTTTACTATGCTCCTACATCTCTACCACAATCTCTCACCCGCACCTATCGAGTAGGGGTCTAGCAACAAGCCAAACCATTTTAAACCAGTTCAGTCAAAGCAGACCAAAATTTCTTTTTTTTTTTTAAGTTATTACAATAATCACCTATTTATGTTGGTAAACTTGGATTCAACACTAATTGATGCACAACAGTTTTCACAGTAAATGACTTGAGTGATATAAAACTACTTACTATCCAATGGTAGCATGTTTCTATAACTTAATTTTCGTAGCTTCCTGTCACATTTATTCTTCTAATTTTCTTCTTACTTATTATAGAAGAGCGTGCATTCCTTTTTGTTTCTTTTCCTTTTTCTTCTTGTAGGACAAGATGATACTAGATGATGGTGAAGACTGAAAAGGTTATTAGCTTGAGGTTTTCTTATGTGTTTTCCAAACTTGTAGTAGTTCCATCAATAACTTTGGTAACAAAATTTCTTTTTATAACTTTTATGAGATATATACTACCAGAGAATATCATTGTGAGGCATTAGCTTTGTTAAGGCGATGCTTAAGGCATCTGAGTGCATTTGTGAATATCATTCATAATAAAATTATGTTGGTATCTTCCATACAATATTTATGCTTCTATTTCTCACATTGAAGACAATGTGCACAGGCACTATGCCATAAAGATTCAGTCAATGAACTCAAATGATTAAATGACCAAATTGATCCCTAGACTTTTTAGATATGTCTATTTATTTTCAAATATTTACCATGTGTTTAATTTAGTTGCTTGACTCATCAGATATGAACAGTTTAATCATATCATCCATTTTGTTATTTCTTTGGACAGAACTTGGTGGCGGAAAGCTTTCCATGAGAGCATTATAGATTTTTAAGGATCAATTCTATTAATTTGAACTAACATTAAATAATGAGATTAATTTTAAAAAGTTCAAAATTTACCCTATAGAAAGCTTGTCTCCAATAATTTTCATTCAAAGAAATTGCAAAGTTGACGGTAGTACCAAATTGGTTCACATTTGAGGAGTTGAGAGACTGAACTCAAATTAATAGTTAAGGGAAAAGCAAGTCTTGTCAATCATAGGCAAGTAATTTCAGTATTTAGATGGTGCCTCCCCCTTGCCAGAATTTCTATGGCGCTGTGAAACACTAGCATTTCAATTAATGTCGCATTATTATGGCTTGAACCCATAGTGGATAGCATTCTTGTAAATGCAAGTGATGAACTGATAACAGTTTTACATCAGTAGAAGATCAATGTCCTTACATGCATTAAAAAAGTTTAGATGTGATGCCGTATTTACTGTTTCCTGCTAAGCTATGTAATAAGCTGCGTGAAAATAGACAAAATAAGGTTTAAATAACATAGGATGATAGCGCTTGCAGTTAAGAGTTTAGTCTTTCATGTAAATATACGTGGTCAAATTGGCTTATTAGTTGTTGTAACCTCCATGAAGTCCTAATGTCTTTTAATAGATTTGAATATTTCCTATTTAATACTTGTAAGCTATGTTGCACCGATACGGATACGGCGATACGGATATGACACGATACGGATACGGGACACGTCAATTCTTAAAAATACAGGATATGGATACGGCGTGGATATGACATTATAATATATAAATAATACATAAAAATTAAGAAAGTAATCAAAATATAATATTTAAAATGACAAAAAATTTGAAATAAAAGTAAGCATTAAATATTTAAATGTCTAGTATAACAACAAAAACAAAAAGATAAATTATCCAGCACATGAAATTTCAACTATTTAATAGAAGGAATGATAGGATTAGCTTTTTCAGTGGTTTGTCTTTGAGTTTTTATATCATCTTCAATAAATATCATAGCTTCTAATTTAGGCTCATCAAGTGAAACATTAGCAATTTCTAATATTTCCATATCCTCAAGAGATTCAAATCCATCTCCAACAACATCCCACATCATGTTGTCTCTTTCTATATAAGTTGGAGTTTTCCTTGAGAGAAGCCGAAGGTTTGTATGCACATAAACTAAATCTTCAGTCCGTTGTGTAGTAATTTTATTTCTCTTCATTGATTGGATGAACGAGTATGTACTCTAATTTCTTTCAGAACAAGATGAGGATGAAACTTGACCAAGCAATTTTATGGCGATTGTTTGAAGTCAAGGCGCTGAAGCTTCATGTATAATCCACCACATTTTCGGATCAATTCTCCACCTATCACGCAATGACTCTTGGTCACCAAAGTCCTCTAAATAATCAAAAAATTTAGCAAGCTTAATATTGACACTTCTCTTCTCCTCATTTGGAAAATAACGCTTCAAACATGTCTTCCTCATATTTGAAATTTCTAAATCTTTCTGTGGAGAAACTCTTTGAGGATCCTCTTGAAGCCATTCTTTAGTTAAATATCTTCAAAAAATATTAAAATGAAATAATGAAACAATCTTGAAAATACTAAACAACAATTTGTGAATTAATAATGAAAAATATTGAAATTTACCTGGGATTTAGTGAGCGAGCCAAGCAATGTAAATGTGTATTACTTTTGCTCTACCTATCTTCTAGAATAGCATAAATAACATCCCAAAAGCTTGAGTCTTCATGAAGTGCCTTCCTCTTATGTCTATATATAATTTTTTTTACTTTGGCAAGCATTGAATCCCACATCTCATAAATGAGATGTAAACAAGACTTATCCGTATCAGTTAATCTCAACATCTCATAAATTAGATCTGTGAAATTTATGATGTCTTCAATCTCATCCCACTATAAATCATCTAAAAATTTCTCCTTTATATATCTAGCATTTCCAACATTATCTTCCCTATAACAGGACCATTTGTCACTGATCACCGTAGCTTGAAGAGCATTTTTTATTTTTTTGAATCTTTTCAACATCACTATAACCGAGGCAAACCGAGTTTTAGCAACTGCAAGCATATTCAAATTAGAAAAGTCATTGAACATAGAGAGTCTCATGGAGTGATTCATAATAAAATTCCTAATTACAACTGCATCTCCAGCAATCACTGTTATCCAATGACATTCATTGTATTCTTAGCTGTACAAATGTTCTTCAAGGCAAGATTAAGCGTATGCACAACACATGGTGTCCAGAAAATATGAGGATAGCCTTGCTCTACAAGTAGACCTGCAGCTCTACAAACAGGTGCATTATCAGTAATGACCTGGATGATGTTTGAAGGCCCCACCATCATGATAACTTCTTTGATTAAATTATAAATGAAGAACTTATCCTTGTACTGTCCTTCAAAGTTTACAGCTTTGATAAACATATGATAGCTCTCTGTTACAACCATGAAGTTGATAAGTGGTCTTCTTTGTGAATCTGTCCACCCATCACAAACCAAAGTAACTCCTTTTTCCTTCTAAACTCCTCTAGTAGGCTCGAGCAACTTCTCAATATTATCCCTCTCTTTGCAACAACTTTGTTCTAATGACATTATATCTAGGTGACACGTATCCTGTAAGATTATTATTGTATGCATAGGTAAAGACATTCTTGTAATGTGGATTCCTTGCTAGGTTAAAAGGAAGTTCAACTGAGCAAAACATTCTAGCTATTTCTCCATCTAGTTGTTCTCTCATTTGTAAATTAAATGCTTTCTCCAAAGCACTATCTACAACATATTTTCTTCTTTTTGGTTTAAATCCCTCCATCCGAAAAGGTCCTTTATTAACAGTACTGTCATCACTTATAATCGAAGAAGAAGATGAAGGATATGAAACATGAGTGTTTGGAAGTGGAATATATTTTGGAAGCTCTTTTTTACTCTTTTGCTCAGCTTCACTAATTTTTCTTTGCAATTCAGTCATTTGTGATGAGCTTATATTTGGGCATACTTTATTTCCATGATCACTAATCTTTAATAAATGAGCTTTCACTCTATAATATGATCATTTGTATGTGGCATTACAAAAATTGCATTTGAATGTAATATTGCCACCCCCTTCTGACGTTTTACCTATTTTTGTCATATAACCCCACAGAGGTTTGTTATCTTCAATATTGGTCTCTGATGGACCATCAGTAGACCCAATTCCTACACCACTAGAGCTCATTATCCTACAAATGATCGACACAAAATAATCCACATGAATTTGAAACATAAAATTTTTTAATTAAAAGTGTAGATATGTTGCGCCTATGCCGGGGTCCAAGGGGGCGCTGCCCCCTAGCGACCTTCCCGGTCAGGTCGCAGGGTCAAGGGACAGCGCCCCTACGGGGGTTTCCGGGGCCCCCAGAATAAAATTTAATTATAAGAGTTGCTTAAAAGTTTTCTCTACCATCTCGGTACTACTTGGTACCATTCAGTACCCCTTTATACCGAGAAGTATCGAGCGGTATCGAGTTTCGGTACCGAGCAGTACCGAGTACCGAGCACCGAGCGGTACCGAGCAGTACTGAGCGTTACCGAGGGGTATTGAGCGGTACCGAGTTCTGGTACCGAGCCTATGATTAAGAAAACAAAGAACGAAGAAAACGAACCTTCAATGCTCGCCTTCACTGTTCGTGTTGTTGAGTCGCTCCGTCGACGAAGGATTCTGTCGGCTTTAATGCTCGCGTCATCAAACCTCTTTGTCGACGAAGGATGATCCTGTTCGCTTCTATGCTCGCGTCGTCGAGCCGATCCTTTGACTATAACGAAGAAGACGAAGACCTATGCGGAAATGAAAAACCTAGCTCGCCAAAATGTTTAAGCTGCATAAATGAATAGGTATATCGAGCGGATAGCCGAAATGAATAGGGCAAATTGCGGCTTTATTTTTTTTAATAGGATACTCGTGTCCGATCAAATTTAAATAATATTTTAATTGGACACGGCAAAGCCGTATCCGTGCCGTATTGGAGGCGTATCCGTATCCGACATGTGTCTGATACAACATACCTCATAAATAGGCGTATCCGTGCAACATAGCTTGTAAGTGACAGGCTACAGTTCAACCTAGTTGTGAGGAAAAATGACCAAAGGTTGACCAAGTCTAAATCAAGTTTAGATTTGTTACTTTAAATTTAAGGACATTAAATTAGAAGCTAAATGTTGTGAAGGAAACCCAAATATATGATAAAAAGTTATGAGCTGTTGTATTGTACTGAAGTTAGCAACAGAATGAAATGAGTATGATAAGATATCTAGAGTTGAAAGAAGAAATTGTTGAAGTGATTCATGTTAGTGATGTGATGATAACCTTTTAAGTTTATTATTGATGGGTACATTATTCTTATGATTATGGCTTATTCTCCTCAAGGAGATTTAGAGGGAAGTTTTAAAATTCGATGTTGGAGAAATAAGAATGGATGGAACACTTCAACACATATTTGTCAAGAAAACTATATTTATTTGTGGTGACAAAAATGAGCATATCCAGTAGGATGAGTTGTAAGAGATTTTATTATGGGTATGGATTAGGAAAGTAGGATGAGCTATAATAGATTTTCATTATGGGTATGGTATGGGAGATGGAAATATGATTGCAGAAGCTATAAATACTAAGCTATAGCAGATAATTTTGTGATTGATAATATAATTAAGCAATGAGATAAACATTATGTTACTCTCATATGTGAAGCTACTGAATTAGAAATAGATTTTCAGGAAAGGCTGGATTTTTTTTGCTTGGAGAAAGTTTGAGCACACATGGAGTAATAGTTATGGATGTTTACAAGTATAAAGAAATTAATCAAAAAATAATTTTCTTAGGATTAAATGGATGAACTTAAAGTCTGAAGGTTTGAATATGCCAAAGCTAATTGGAACTTTAGCATTGAACCAAATAATCATTATAGCTATAATAGGATTAAATGTATGATCGAATGACTGGATGTAGTTAAAAAATTATCATAAAAATTCTCGAATAGCCTAGAAATATATTATATATTAAGGAGATTCAATGGTTGAGCTAGATGTATAAGAAGTTTTTAGACATGAATGTTCCTTTAAAAGTGAAAAATAGATACTATTATGGCATGTAATAATTTTGCTGAAACCCGCAAAGGGGTAGTAATAAAACACCTAAGCTACATTTTTTTGATAATAATAGGATAGGTGGTAGGGAAAAAGGAGTCATAGAGACTTCACGCAAGTTAGATATATTAATTGTGAAGATTAGACGTAGAGGACCTTAATTAAAGTGAGACATCAAGCATATATGAGAATGCTATTTCAAGAAGTTATTATATAGTTTTAATGAAGAAAACTTTTCAACAGTGCCAAATGAATATAAATATGAATTGTTTTATCAAATAGATAAAGTTGAACCAGTTTTGAAGATGTACAAACATAAAGCTTTTGGTTCATATAAAATACCAATTGAGATTTAGGAAATTAAGAGCGATTTGCCAATGTTCTGCCTTCCATTTGTAGAGCACCAACAACAATTTTATTAGCTTTTCCCCTTAAAAAATTAATTAGATTAATGACCTTTTTTTTCTTTTTTAATGGGTTCTCTCCTATAAATATCTCTCTTCTATCCCTTAGAATAAGAAAAACAAACAATATTCTTCTTTCATATTTTTCAACAGAACTTCAGCATTTTTTTTTATTTGCACTATGTTCATTTCCTTGCTAGTGAAGCTCCTTTCTTGAACAATATTTCACTAGTTCTTGGAATAGCTTGTCTCAGATTCCTTCTGCTCGTTCAGTCTATACTTAGTTGGAACGACTTGCATGGCCTACCTTAGCCTTTTCGAATATATGGAAGTTTTATGCACTACGAAGCCATCTGCAAAGGTTAATCGTGGATTTTATGGAAAAATATTTGAAACACTAACCATTATGCTTATATTTCTTATAGAAAACTAGACTTCCAAGTTACTTTTGATACTCAAGAAGTTGCCTAGATGTATTAGCAGGATTCTCGAGTCCTTTGTCCTTTCACTTACTTGTTATGTGAGAAACATACGGATTATTTTCCAATAATCTGTAAAGAAAAAAATGAAATGATTATCTGGATAAAGATATATTTTGCTTAGTCATGTAAATGGGATTAATTATTCTATGCAGACGCCGAACGCCGTTTGGAGACCAACCAGAATGCGCCACGTCAGTGATACCGAGACGTGGCGCATTCTAGTTGATCTCTAGACGGTATTCTGCATCCGGTCTCCGCACTGAATATTTTCTCCGTAAATGGAGCCCTAGACTGGGACTCGAGTAACTAGTTTTGATTTTGTTTGGTCCCATCTATTAGGGTTCAGAAGTACTTGAAATGCTCATCAAACAGTTCATTGATCGCTACAATTGTGTTTGTTACTTGTTTCTGTTCTTAATTTCCTTAAAACTTTTACAGGATTTTGCAGTGATGATGTGTAATATGCTGGCTGGAGTGCCATGCATTGTTTACTGCTTTGAGGAAAATGTCAGCCATGATTCAGTCATATGCTGCTGAGGTTTTTTAAATTTTCAAATTTTTTAGGAGATGAAAATTTTACTGATTCTCATTTTCAATGTTGATGGTGCTTAGAATCATTTATTAAGCAGGTGTTTTGGTGCCACTGCTTCAACCAAATTGAACATCTCCAATGGAGTTTAGATGAATTGATCATTTGCTCGCTTTCTATTAACTACTTGAAGATAGATGCTGTGACATTTATTTCAACAAACCAAAAATTATGTGATTATTTTAAAAAACATTTTCATGTTGAATTCAATGGTTAATTTAACTTGATTTATTTCCTGTGTAAACCTGCTTTGTTAGTGTATACTTTATTAAATGATTCATTTAGTCGAGTCCACGCAGTGAGATGAAGATTTAATGTTATTGTTAGGGTATATTATTGTAGTATTTTCAGCTTCTCAAATGAGTATTCAAAGAAGCTCTCATGTCCGGGGGGTTAAAACGGGTCGACGGGTCAAGTTCATGTTTTATTCAAAATTGACCCTACCTAAATTTAATCAACTCGAATCTGATATGTTTAATAAACATATCAAAAATATCAACATAAATTCGACCCCCTAGTAATCCAAATTAGATCCATTAACTCTTTTTGGTTTAAATTTTTTTATAACTTAGTAACTATAAAATTTAAAGTATTTGATAAAAAATTATACGGATTTGAAGTCAAAAATAAATTTGCAGGTTAGCTCGAATTTAACCTATCGAAAAAATTCAAAAACTCAAATTTAACTCATTAATTAAATGGGTCAATCTGAATCTGAGTTTTTTAAATTCAGTTTAGATTGATTTAATAGGTGGGTCAAATTTTTGACACCCCTATTATCACTTGGGATGATTTTAAATTTTTAATATAAAATTTTTAAATTCATAAAATTTTTATACTGAAAGAAATCATCTTAAACGAAGACTTTGTTTGAAGTTATATTAAAAGAAAAATGTCAGTAGTTAATTTAACTGAACCTATAAAACATGTCAAAAACTTAGCTCGGATCAAACCTAAAGCAACCTAAAAGCTAAGTTTGGTGTTGAGATTCAATCAAATGCCATTATTGTTTTTTTGTTTTTTGAATAAGATATCTTATTAAGAATTAAATTTCATTTAAATTTAATAAAAAAATCATCACTAATATTTTCTAATCAAATCTTTTTAAATCTACATCAACCTTTCTTAACATAGACTGAATCTAATACATCTACCCTCCTAATTAGATCATTCAAAAACCGACATCTTATGCAATCAAACAATATAAGGAGCTCTAATCTTATTAGCCACCGGAGTACTCGAACCTTTTCATGTATATAACAATTTCGCATTCTATCTCTAAATGTAAGGCCACTCATCCAACTCAACAGCTTTTATGCTTCTCTTTTAGCGGCCAATTGCGCCATAAAACCAAAAAGGCTAAATAAAACCAAAAAGGCAAAGCCTGCACTCCTTAGACAATGGCCACCCCTAAAAATCTAACAAAAAATTATTTATCCAAACCAAACCGACTTACTCGGTACCATCCATATTATTCTGTGTGGAATCTGGAGGGCGTTTAGAGGCCAATAAAAATGTGCCACATCACTCTAAAAATATACCGCACTCGGTACATTGCACTTAACCGGACGAGAAACCTGTCCGGTCCCATTTTTTAGAAGTAGTTCAACGAGCATAAAGCATCATACACAGTTACTGCAAATAAAAATATCGTTACGCACAAGATCCAAAATCCACAGTAAGCATAAAAGTGCCCCTAATGCACCATAAAATAAAACTTTTTTAAGAAGTTCAACACAGAAGAAACCAACACCAGGATTTCTGACAAAAGACGCTTAAGATTTTGTGAAGACAACTAATGATTAGGGAAGCAGATTTAAACAAAGCAAGAAAGGTTCTATACGAAGAGATTTCTGATTTGTTTTTCACTCTTCAGCCACATTGACCAACTCATACTCCACTAAAGAAAGGTTGTTACCATCCTTGACTGAAAAGCTCGCAGGTTCAGTTACCTCAACACGCCCCCACTTGTCTACAGCCAGCCTCATCGACCCCTTGAACATATCTATCTTAGCATTGCGGAGGGTCACTGTCGCACCAACCTTCATCATATCAACTGACAAAATAGAGTAGCCAATGTAAGCCAACAAAATATTTCATTATAAAATCATTTTTTTTTTATGTAACAGTTTATTTCACTTTTTTAGCAAGATTTAGTCTTCGTTTGGGGGTTTTCTTACTGCTTCTTAAAGCAGTTTTCTAGTACATAAATTTTAATTTTTGTACTAAAAAATTGTTTCTGCTTTAAAAAGCAATAAAAAAAGCCGTCCCAAAAGCCGCCTTATTCATCCCAATTTTGCTACAAAAGCGAAGACAATAGCAGTTATCCTAAAAAAACAACAGACAAGTAACTTGCTAAGCATACAAAAGTAACTTTTAGTTAAAAAAAAATTTAATTTAACATATTTTTATACTGAAAGGTTGCTTTAGAAAGCTATTTCAAATGAAACCTTAGTGTGCTTTTTAATTGTTTTGCTTGTGTTTTTAAAAAAAAAAAATCAAGTTTAAAATATGCCAAAAAACTTGCTCACACTAATAACAAGCAATACTACAAGATAATATCCAAAAACAACATAAAGGGGATTCCTTCGATACAAATTCAGTCAAAACAAAGACGTTTGCATATACATAGAAAGGAGTAAAAATATAATAGCAGCGCATGGTGTAATAATTTGTATGTGTTCTATCATTCCATATATACGGGAGATAACAAAGTTGGCTGTTTCAACATTTGTGCATTGCAAAAATATCAAGCTAGCTCGCTGAATACCAATTCCTTAACAAAACAATACATAACCTACATAAAACTTAGAGAAGTTTACTCAATAAATTTGCGTATGACTTCCAAAATTTCCATGCGTAGGCACTAAAGCTCAAACTTTTCAAAAAAGTTCAAAAAATAAGAGAAGACTGTATAGAGGAAGCAATGGAAATGGAGAATTCTCTTACAAAATGTGTATTTTCTACAACTACAAAGAATACAATTCCTTTTGTTGCATGTCAGAAGGCGGGTCTTGCTATTGGTAGTGTTCGGAGGGTGAGTTTATCGGTTTAGTGTTACCCAGATAAATAGATTAATCCTCATAAGAGGCACAAACATTTATGGTGGAAAAACCTGAAGGAAGAAATAACAGGGCCTAACCTAATTTAAATAATTTTGTTAGGTATGTTCAAAAATGTAATGGCTCGTCCCTTCTATGATGTCGGCAAACAGACTAACACAAGAACAGTTTATGGAACCAGTGACGAAGGACATAGACTTCAATCAACATTGAATAGGTCTTAGAGTTATCAGATTCATCTCATTAAAACACATTCCAGCTAACTTGTAAAATATAGAAGACATTTGACCCCTCAAATGGCATGGAGAATTTTTTAATTATAGTTAGAGGTAATATTTAGAGAAAACCAAAAATCTGAACCGAATCTATCTTATTTGGTTAGTTTGGTTAATTTCTTGAAATATTGATTCATTTATCAGTAATAAATTGAACTTTTTTTCGATTTAGGGTATTGGTTCAATTTTTTTTCATTTTTGAAACTAACAGCCGATATACACCAATATTTTCAAATGTTAAATCAATCAAGTTTATGAAATGATTCTTTGATTTGAACTAAACAAGAGATAGAAAGATAAACATGTCCAATGTTTATATACTTAATTGAAATGATTCTCTTATTTAATGAAAAAAAATTATTATCAGTTAAAAATTCGATTTCTTAAAATCAAACCGGATAAACCTAAACTACATTTCAGTTCGTTTTGGTTCGTTTTAACAAATTTTTTTGTCGGTTTGGTTTTCTCAATTTCAAATCCATAACTATATGTTTTTACGAATTCATCAACCAATCCATCCAATCAAACTAAATGCATGCCTCTAATAAAGTTTTGGAACTTTACCTTAGGCTTATTTGGACTCGAATTAAGCCATTCGTATTAATTTTTGGTACAACTCACCTAACTGCATTGTCTTGAGTATAAATTTCGTGAAAATGGTATTCATATGATCGTGAAGTTTATTCTAAAAGTTTGACCTAAACACTTTGGTACTTTCAAATCTAAAATTTACATCAAATTTTGGACTAGATCAAAACAAAATTTAGTAACGAGTCATTTGCACCACATTTTTTTACGTCAAAATTATAAGCCAAAAATTCTCTAAATATTGAAATTTTTTAAATGTAATACCAAATTTTGGAAATTTTCAAGACATGACCTCTCTCCTAGGAGATAAACATAAAACCTTCTTAGACCAACGAACGAAATAATTACCCCTTGATCATAATTTCACCCTTCAATCAAATTGACACGTCATTCAAAACAAAATTTGTTGAAAAGTTTATTTATTTTTTCCAAAATAACTCAAAATTGCCTTCAGAAGCTCTATTAGGACTCAAATAAGCCAAAATTAAATCTAGAACATCAAAAAATACCTTTGGGGTTTTGAAATGCTCTAAAAGGCCTACATAAGGCAAAAATTGGGCCTAGAGATGTGAGTGGATGGATACGAGAGGCTGCACGTTGATAAGCTTTCAATTTTGTACTTCAAATTTGAGTGAACAAGCCCTTTTGTATTTTTTTTTATTATTTCCTATTTAAAAATCCTTTTGGGGGTTTTTGTTGGGTTGGGGGGGGGGGGGGGGGGGGGGGGGGGGGGCGCAAATTCAAATTATGGAGGCATATTAATAAACATGGTTGGGTTTATTTTGGGATATAAAAAAGTTGGTTGATACATATCCAAAATGGACATCGAAGTATTAAAAAACGCCCTTATAACCCCCTTCACAATACCACAAATGGTTGGTCTTAAGGCTTTTACATTGAGAGGAAGAAGGCACTGCTCAAGTTAAGGCGAGAGTCATTAGTCTCAAACCATCAACTCTAACTACAGATCTATTGTGATCACATGATCCCCATTATGATGACATATTATAGTTTCATGAACAAATAACATTCTATCATGGAGAACTTTCAACAAACTAATTTGGTTTCCAAGAGCAACTTTCCTATTTTCACTTTTGGGCTTGAGCAAAGAAGGGAGGTTTCATTAAAGAGGATAGGAATATCTGAATAACATTTAGTTGTTGGGACATAACAAATATGGACTTTATTATCCCAAAGAAAGTTATGAATCTCTTTTCTCAACTCACAAGGCAGAAGCAAAATTGCATAAACAAGTGGGTTTTAGGGCTCTTTGATTTTACAAGAGCAATAAAAAACATGTCCACGACAATGGAGGTCACAATATGAACATCATTATGGCCATCATTTTGTGAGTCTACACTATGAAGGAGATCGAGAATCTTAAAAAAAAGTGAAAGCATCGAGCAAGAGGCATTAATCAATGGCTGGCAACAATGGATAGGCAACATAGATGTCAGCATTAGTTTCCTGAAAATGTCGACACAGTTTAACGGCCAGGCAATGAACAATATCAACTTCGGTTGATAACAAACAATGCTAGAAGTAGGTGCTTACAGGTGATCGATGCAGTTGCCTTTCTGGCTATAAGGAAGATCAGGTAGCCAAAGAAAGCGTAAGTCAGGACAGGTGAAATCCCAATAAAGGTCGTTAAGATTCAAAACAAAGATTGAAGCTTGGAAATTCTCTAAGCTTGAAAATTATTTCCACCAAAAAGATACTTCCCGAATGTATAAAAGCATGGACTATTTATAGATTTCTGAAGGTAACATCTTAATGTTTTAATGGTCTTGAAATTGATAAGGTCTTGGAATTATTTGATTAATCCAATTTAATCGTTTCAACTATAATTATGCAAAATTTAGAGTGGATTTGACCCCTTAAATGGCATTAAAAAAAATTTCAATTATACTTCCCAACGCTTGTCTTGAATTAAGTTATTATTGATGTTGTTGGTTACATCTCCCATAACATCATTATTTTGAGTAAAAGTTATCTATAAATGAGTTTAAATAACCTTGGAGTTTATTATGAAGGTTTATGATCCAAATGTTTGGGTACTTTGAGATAAAAAATTTGCAACAAAATTCATGCTTGATCATATAAATATTTTGATTTCTCATTTGCAAACCCATTTTTGGACAAAAAAATTGCAAGTCCAAGAATAATTCTGATCTTGGAAATTTTGCTATGTAAAATCACAATTTTGACAAAATTTCAAGGTGTGATAACTCATTGTGCGCCAACTTATACCTCCCCCTTAAGATAGTGAATCAAGTAATTTCCCCTTAATCACAACCTTTAATAAAGCCCGAACATCATTCAAGATGAAAATTGCAAAAATAATATATTTTAATTTCTTCAAAATAACTCAAAACTACCTCTAGATTCTCTATTGGGACTCCTAATAGCCAAAATTGAGTATTAATCTGAAAATGCTCAAAAAGGCTTGGTTAGGCAAAAAGTAAGGGCCCAAACGCATGCTAGTAGGCTCGAGACACAACTAGCCATAGTGGCCCACTAGCGGACCCATGAGCACACGTTACAAGTTTGAGTAAACAAGCTTATCATGTCTTCTCCATCTTGTAAGAAGAAGCATAAAAGAAGAGAACTTTCTATACTAATAAATCAAATTAAACATTTGGTTAATGCATGCCAAAGCATGAGTGATGGACATCTTTCAGATGTAAATAAGATAGGCCCAATAGGCCCACCAACGATCATGATTGTTAAGACTAAATTTAGAAGCATTATATATATATATATATATATATATATATATATGATACCATCCATATTTTCTGTGCGGAGTCCGGAGGGTGTATGGAGGCCAATAAAAATGCACAACGTCACTCCAAAAATGTACCGCACTCAGTGCATTGCACTTAACCGGACGGGAAACCGGTCCGGTGACCGCACAGAATAATAACTCCCATATTTTAGAAGAAATTCAACGAGCATAAAGCATCATACACAGTAATGCAAATAAAAATCTTTACGCACAAGATCCAAAATCCATAGTAAGCATAAAAGTGCCCCTAATGCACCATAAAATAAAGCTTTTTAAGAAGTTCAACACAGAAGAAACCAACACCAGGATTTCTGACAAAAGACGCTTAAGATTTTGTGAAGAC